TCTCTCTCTCTCTCTCTCTCTCTCTCTCTCTCTCTCTCTCTCTCTCTCTCTTTATGTTTCAAAACAGGCTGTTTATCACAAACAAATTTTAGGCCTCCAAACGGCAGGTTCAACATTTCAATAAATTTTCTCAACATTGCAAACTCCTACTACCCATGTTCTTTTGATTTGACATTTTTTTACATTTGTGCATCTCTGTTTGTTGTTTTGCTTGGAGTTGTTTGGTTTTTTAAATTTCATTGTCTTTAGGAGTTCGTGAGTATACAAGAAACACGTCTGCTGTGCATCTTAATAATAAACTCGCACAAAAAAGTCAAGGAACAAAAATTCAAAGAAAGATTACTGAAGAACAGATTAACCGAATTGATTCATTTTTTCAAAAAAGATGCATTCGACTCTATATATTAAGTGTGCACAATTTCAGATTTTAACAACATCGACAAGTTCATGTAAAATTAGTTTTAAGTCACACTGGTCGGATTTCAAAAGTCTGAACAGCCATAGTTCTTCATGAACATTGTCAATAGTGGGTGTAGCCACTCCTTTTGATCAAACACTCCGTACAGCATCGACGTATGGACAGGACATACCTTAGGGGAACTTGTTGTGGTAGGTTCTGCCACTCATGAACGAGGTAGCCCTAGAGTTGTTGAAGGTTTTGTGCTGAAGAGTGGTTGTCCCTTATCCACCGGTCAGTGTGATCCCAAATGTTCTCTGTTGGGTTCAAATCCGGACTACAAGCTGGTCAGTCCATGCAGGTGACACCTCGCTGCTGCAGAAAGTCCCCCACGATACGTGTGCGATGTGGCACGGCGTTGTCGTCCTGAAGAACAGCCTGGGGTCCAATCTCCTGCAGGAGAGGAACAACAACGGGACGCAGGAATTTCTCCCTATACCTTGCGCTATCAAATTGCCCTGTATGGTACAAGAGAAAGGGTCCTGTGGTGATCTGAGAAGCCTCCTCACACCAGAACGGACCCTCCACCGTAGGGCGCCACCAGTGGGATGCACTCAGGGTGGAACAGCTCTCCTCGGCGCCTCCAGACGTGGGCTCGCTTGTCTGGGTGCAGCAGCTTGTATCTGGATTCGTCCGAGAAAACTACCTGGTCCCATTGACTGACGTCGTGTCCGTTGTGAAAGGCGAGCAGACCACGCCTGGCGAACTGCTTTGTGAGGAGGCGTGTGCCTTGGGCGCCTGGCAGGGACACGAGAAGCGAACCTGGTTCAACGGATACGTTCCTTTCCGTCTCCTCGCTCTCGTAGACATTGGCTGTCACCCGTAGTTGGTCCCTGATGCCGTTTGCACTGGTGGTTCGTGACGTCATGGCCTGTCTGACGATGAAACGGCCGATGCTGTCCTTGGTCAAACGGGGCGCCCTGGTCTAGGCCTGTCCTGGACCCTTCCTGTCGCTCACAATCGTTCTTGCAGCTTCTATATGACTGACGGGGACAACCCAAGTCGACGTGCAACGACTGGGAACATGAAGCCATCTTGGAGCCAGGCAAGAGCTTGTTGTCTGTCGACGTCAGGCAGTGAGCGTCGTTGTACCATCGTGTTGTAATGAAACATGGCTGAAAACGCTGGCTTATAAAGGGTTGTAAGTGAGCAATATTCACAGCTAAGACATCTGTTTAGCATGTGCCAAGCTTGGTTTTAGCTAACAGTCCCTATGCCAATGTTGCTGAAGTAGAGAAATTTAGCCCATTTTTCATGTTTTTCAGAAGATAACACGGCTGTGTTTCAGAATGCCCTGTGCCGTCACTGTGACAAACTGTATCTAGTCGTCAGTGCGTGTGTCAAGTTTGGTTGACTGACCTCAACTGGTTTGTGAGATATTGAAGTTTAGATTTGACAGATGAAAACACAAGTTGTTCCTTGACTTTTTAGGGCGAATTTATCTTATTTACGTGTATCTATCTCATCTTATCTTATCTTATCTGACAAAACTTTAAACGTGGAGTCACCATGCTATGCCCCCCCCCCCCCCACACACCCACCCATGTCAACTTTTTTCTAATGTATCTATGTTTTTACACCTCCCCAATCCACACCATAGATCATTTAGGAGGAGGGCTTCTAACCCTATGTGTCAGGGTCAGCCATGCCTGAGAAGGATACAACATCTAACCAGAAAGACCGTGCGATACCTGATAAATGTTCTCCCTACTCGAGAATCGAACTCGAGTCTCCTACCTCCAACAGCAAAGTGCTTAATCGCTCCACCACAGACGCCGGGCACCCCATTCCAGCAGCAAGGAAAAAAAACTAGCATTCCCAGGACTTGGTTGCCAAAGAAAATGAACCATTTCACAGAGCTCTAAGGTTCATCATC